ATCCTACCCCACCCCACCCAGTGCTTCCCTTCCGCTCCTCGCACTCACACTTGTCTTTGACGGCTGCGCCCCATCGACCCACCTCCATGCGCAGGGGCGTACCGCGCGGCAGACGGCCAAAAGGAGCGGCGCCTACTGCTGTCAGAGCTTCGAAACCTGGTGCCGCCGCCACACGCGGCGGCGCTCGCACCCATCTTATTGATCAGCGACCTGGCGGGGCCGCTGTCGACTACTGCGGCTGATGCGAACGGTTTGGCAGCGCCGGCGGCGGCGGCTGCCGGGTCGCCCGGTGCGGCGGCGGCGCCCGGCGCGGCGAGGCAGCAAGGGGCGCTAGAGCGGGCGGCCCTGGCGGCGCGGACGGCTGTGCTTCGGCAGTATCCTGGGCTAGCGGAGGCGCTGCTGCTGGGGGCGGTCCGGCGGCTGTGCGCGGCTGCGCGCGAGGGCGCGGACGGCGCGGCGCCGGGGTGTGGGGCTGGCGGGTCCAGCTGTGGACTTCCCCAGCCGGGGCCCGGATGCCAGCATGCCGGCAGCGGCGGCGGCGGCGGCGGCGGCGGCGGCGGAGGCGATGAGGGCGTCCAAGCGAGAGCGGCGGCGTGGGTCGAGGTGCTGCTCGCGCCGCAGATCGCGGCGGCGGCGCGGGCGGAAGACAGGTGGGTCCGCACCGTAGCCCAGAAAGTTTGCGATGTGTCTTTCTGTGGCCGAGCTCGTTGTGATGCTCACAAAAAGCGCTGGACCTGAAACACATGGCGGAGGAGGCCAAACCAAGCGCTTGTGTTCCAGGCGGGCAGGGCTCTAGACGCCCACGCAGCCCGCCCCGCCTGGCGCAGGCCGCCCCGCTGCTGAGCGTTCCGCCCCATCCCGCCCGACCCCCCAGCAGGCCGTCCAAGCAGTCAAGAAAGCAGCAGCCGGCCTCCGGCAGGCGGGCGCTTTCAGGCGCGGGCGCTGCGGCGGGGGCGCAGCCAGAGGACCCGCAGTCAGACGACGCGGCCCCCAGCGCCGCCGACCTGCGCCACCTGCTGTCGCTGCTCGCGGCCGCGCCTGGTGGCGGTGCGGCGGGCGGCGGCGGCGGGGCCCAGGCGCTCGCAGGCCCGCGGCTGCGGGCGGTGAGGGCCGTGAGCGACGCGCTGCGCGCGGTCGGCGGCGTGGATGGCGGCGCAGACGGGCACAGAGATACCGGGACTGAGATTGTGGCCCGGTTGGAGCGGCTGGGCAGGCTCGCAGGGCCTTCCACTGTGGGCAGCAGGGGCGCCGGCGCCCTGCAGGCTGCGGGCGCGGCTGCGGGCGCCGCTGTGGGCGCCGCCGCGGCAGGCGGGGAGCGCAGCGGCGGCGGCGGCGGCGGCGGCGATGGCGGCGGCAGCGAGCGGCAGCGCGAGCTCGAGGCGGCCGCGGCGCTGCAGCGGCAGCTTCTGGGGAAGCGCAAGCAGCGGCCGCAGAGCGGCAGCGGCGACGCAGCCGGCGCCGCGCGGACGGGGGAGGCGGCCGCGGGGCCTGAGGCGGGGCCGTCTGCTGCGGACGCAGCCGCGTATCGCGCAGGCGGCGGGGGAGGGCCCGAGCTCGCAGGCCCTTCGTTCGGCTGCTGGCGGCGCGTCTCGTCCTGGCAGCCATGCTCTGTCGGCTGCATCCCTGCCCCGCTGTGCCCGGGTGGTGTCGTGCCGCCGCTTGACATGCCTTGGCGGCACCAGCACCAGCAGCAGCAGCAGCAGCAGCAGCAGCAGCAGCAGCAGCAGCAGCAGCAGCAGCAGCAGCAGCAGCAGAGGCAGGGGCAGGAGGACGGATCAAAAACGTTGGTGGTGGATGCTGCTGCACAGAAAGTGGCGGGCGACAATTTCAATGGCCAGCAGCCGGACAGGTCGATTAAACTTGCAGACAATCAGCAGCAACAACAACAGGAGGAGCAGCAGCAGCAGCAGCAGCAGCAGCAGCAGCAGCAGCAGCAGCAGCAGCAGCAGCAGCAGCAGCAGCAGCAGGAGGAGGTCGAGGGCGACAGAGATGGAGGCAGCACTGGAGAGCAGGCGCTGTGGGACCACCGACCCGCTGAAGAAGCGGGGGCCGGCCCCCCTAGCGGCGGCGGGCCTGGTGACATCCAGAGTACAGATGCCGGCAGCGATGACGGCGACGCCGCCGGCGGCGGCGGCGGCGGCTGGGGTTTAGCTGTTGGCGCCTTTCACGAGCTCAAGGCGGCCGCCAAACCGCTCTGGTGAATGTGTTTTGCCCGCACGTTGCGCCCCCCGACCCCAAGCACCGCCCTTCATGCCGGTTTTTGGTCATAAGCTTGAAGCTTTTTGGTCATAAGCTTGAAGTTTATGGACGACGAGCCGCGCAGCTGGCGCCGCTGGCCAGCTGAAGGCGCTTACACGACGCAAACTCATCGCTGGTGCCGGTGGCACCCCGCTAGGGTCGCCGACGCACCCGCGTGTATCACTTCGGACGGGACGGATCGTGCATAGCTCTGCGGCAACCGCCCAGCAGTTTCGTACTGAACGCCGGTTGTAACCGCCGCATTTAGCACGGGGGCCCACGAAAGAACCGTTTGTCGAACAAGGATGCAAATCAGTGTCCAAGCATGCGACTTTCATTCCCCGTGTCGATCAATTGCAACAAGCAGCAACCAGAATCCAATGTTAGGGCACCATTCGCGCCGCCGCCGCCTCGCCCACCGACGCGGCCACATTCGGACGTCACCCGTCGACTCCAATGTTGTGCAGCACGTCCAGCAGCGCCCTCACCTCCCTAGGGCTCAGCTGCCGCCGGCCGCCCGGCCGCTGCCCCGCCGCCGACGCAGCGGCTGGCGCCTGCGCCGGCCGGCCCGTCGCCGCGAGGCCGCCGGGCCGCGAGGCGTTGCAGAGTGCGGCGGGGCCTGGAGTAAAAAGAACTTTCGCAGTCGGAGCTTCGGCGGCCCGGGCCCCCCACGTCTTGCCGGAGGCAGGGCCACGTTCCGGCTGGCTTGCTCTAAACTGCTGCGGCGGGCGCGGCTGCCGCGCCGCCTCTGACGCGTCCCTCGCGCCC